CACAGAAAAAATCACATCTAGGCGCTGACTGCAAATAAAAAATAGTGTTAAAATTTTCACTTTCATAAATATTTCTGTCTGTAGCATATATTCTCAACTGTTCCTTCACCAACCAGGAATTTTCTTTTCTTATCTCTCTCATTGTTGAAACTCATCAAATTTGCATATGTAATTTCCAGAATGAATAAGAAAAAGTGGATGCGCAACTAATTTCTAGCTTTGAATCTCAAGTAAGTGTAGAGACGAGAAACCAATAGAATTATGATCAACACATATTATTAGCACACAAATCCTTACTATGCACTGCGGTTTCCTTCTACTCATAGTATACAACTTACCGCTTACATCAGAGCTAAATATTGATAACTGAAGCATCATGACATTTAGGCAACACGTACAAGTACAAAACGAGTTCACAACAAGTGTCCATCAGCTAGTGCTAAGTTAACATCTTGTAGATAAACCTACATAATGTCAGAAAAAACAATATAATGTCAAAAAAATCGACATAATGTCACTTTTCAAGATACGTAATACCCGTGCCGCTTCAAGCTGGTCTTTATAGGATTTTCGTAGAGGTAAGAAGGTGCATTAGTAAAAATTATATCATACCTCCTAAGTTGGTTTCTTCTTTGTCAGTTACGGCTAATGATCAGGAGTCCTCGTTCATCGACAATCTTCACTCTCACATGACTGGCTTTTTGGTAAAATGATATTGCTATGAGGAGCTTAAAGAAACTTTGTTCATCAGATTGTTGAACCAAATTAAGACCTCGCTGATTTGGACTCCGACCAACCGAACTGAGATGCTCTTTACTAGAACTTGGACATCCATCAGATGAGAGCTAGGGCGCTTCTTGTTAGTCATGGTACACCACTGTGTTTTGGAAGCATTAAAAATTATATCAGATTGTTGCGTCCTCAAGCAGTAATAACCTTTAAGACTCTCGTAGAGAGGAAGTCGCTGCTAGTATTCTTTTCTCTAGCTCACCGGCACAGATCGTGTCACTTGCATGTAGAGTGCTCTCATTAGCAAAGTTGTGAATCGGATTGATCGTACAGGAAAGGAGGTCGTTGATATGTAAGAGGAACAATATCGGATTCAAAACAGATCCCTGAGGAACACCGGTATTGACATTGTGGGATGAAGAGGAGAACCCGTCAATTACGATGAATATTTTGCGGGAAGAAGTCGGTCACTCGTCTGCAAAGCTTCTCTGGGAGGCCATCGAACACTTTCGTGATATCAAGAGCAACAATATAAGCTTCTCCATGAGACTGGATGAGTTGAATCCACAGTTGTGTTAATAAAAATCATTTCAACATATATATACAAAATATGCGACCTGAATTTCGAACTATTTAAATAATTTGTATACAAATACTAAAAATTATATAATACCCAGGGTATTTTTGGGCGTGCCACTTGTTGGTCACAAGAAGAAGAAAGTTATATACATATACATTGTATACAGCAGAAGTCAACAACATCTCAACGACATTGCTCGTCTACTTTCACCTATTACTATTTAGTTTTTGTCGCGTATATTTTATAGAACCTCATGATGAACATAATTTTCAAGAGAAATATCACAGCTAACTGGATAGATTGAAAACGAGATGAAAGCGGATTTATATTGACATTGACTGTGTTTACGGCCGTTCATACAACTGATTACAATAAACAATAGGCCGGTAGAAGTCAAAGAGGATTTGACGCATGACATACACTTGTTCACACTTGATGATAGACAAAGAATAAAAATATGTATTAGCGTTGAGAGCAACTGAAATCAATCGTCATTAAGTTAAGTGGTTAAACTTTCATAGATAAAAATGGTTTAAAAATTGGGAAATGTTTGATTTTCAAGATTCTTCATCGTTGTAGCTGATTGATATTTTAGATTTGATTATTGTATCGTATTGCTAGAGAAACTTCGGAATGTTATGATTGAGATGTGTTTCCATCAACAAATCCGCTCCGCAACATGTGTTGCACCATGTGCCCCCCACTTGAGCACTTGCACATGTTGTGAGTCAAGTAGCTGCGGTGCTCAACATGTGCTGTGGCACGTGTCCTAATTTGCCTTGATTGTATGCTTGTATGAACCAAGCAATTCGGATACGTGCGAAGGAGCCAAGCCTTATATGTTCTCATGGCAGAGTTTGTCGACAAAATTACGTAAAAAGTTGTCTTCAAGAAATAGCAGCAATGGCGGAGTACCTGGTATTTTTAATAGTGAGGCACTTTGCTTCAGCTCGGTTTTTCTAAATAGCTGTCTGTTCTGTGAGATCCGAGCAATCACTGGTGTTATATATCATAGTCACTATGTTAATTCAATAAAAAATATTTAGAAATGATTTAATTAATCTGACATTAATAGATTTTTAAATAGCTTACTATTTGTACAGCGAAAGAAAGGATCTTACCTTAATTTTTAGATGCAAAATAAACGTAGACAAGATGTAAACTTAACGTTTCGGTTCGCCCTTGAGTATTTATCAAAGATGTTGGCTTTACTCCAAAGTGTTACATTTTCAACGTTGATTTAGGTGCAATTTTTTCAGCAAACCTTATATTGGGATTGTGCACTGAGAAACAAATAGGATGACATAAATCTAAACTACCACGCTACTGACCAGGTAAAAGCCCAATGTAGAGGTACAATGCTCTTTCGCAACACCGATGACTATCCTATATCAACACATATCTCTAAAAAACCTTCTTTTATTCAGCTTAAGCTGCTTTTGGTAATCCACAAAAATCTCCACCATTTTTTGAGATTTCCTGGAATGCTGGAACATACATATACACAGTAAGTAACATAATTGTAGTAGTTATACAAAATGCACCACCCGTGAATGCACAATATATTTCTACTAGACCAAAGATATTATTGAAGTCAGTTGTATATTTTCAAATATTGTCTGAACAAAAAGATTAGCCCACACCTCTGCATAGGTCTGCGATTTTTATAGATTTCTGGGCTTCAATGGTTTAATCAAAAACGCACAATTGTCAGAGGTACATCTTACTTTGAAAAATTTTTTTCAAAAGCTCATTATGTATTCTTACATAAATTTGAATCTCCTGACCATATATAATAGCAGCGCTTGCAATAAAAATGCATCTCACTACTTCAGTTCACTCAGGACATACCCCTGACCATCCGAAGTGACTGCAATGAACTCTTCTGAATTGAAGCATGACTTTCTACTTCGACATATCTCAGCTAAAACTATATTATTATTCTTAAAATATCCATTAAGAAAATTGTATAAAGATTTACATATATCAAAATAGAAATCAAATACATTTCCTTATATGTATCTTCGTGTAAACGTACATATTTCACTTGTACTCATCTGAGGTGATAGTACAATGATGTTGTTCTCACTTCTGTGAACAAGTGCCGCACTTCTGCCGCCCTTAAAGCCTAACAAATACGATTAGATTTTTGTGTGGTAATAGTCCAAAGTAGTACGTTATGTCATATGTTTTTGCGCTCTATTTTCATGAGATTTTCACAACCACAACAATGTACGTTTTCATGCAGTATTAAAACTAATTTATATGCAATTTAGCAACGTTATATAGTTCTTTCAGCAAATAGTAACTATTCCAAAACTGCAGAAAAGGCATGAGCACCCGTAGGAATTTTTCTCAGGGGGGAGGGGGAACATCGGCATAAGCGAACCTTTTGTCGAAGTGTACCTACTGCCAAACCTTCGTGAAGAGCTGGAGGTAGCAGATTTTTCCAGGGGGGATCCTAAAAATATGCCCAAAATTCTATACAAAATCATGCTGAATATAGAAATTTTAAGGTCCAATCGGATTCCCAAGAAGCAATTAGTCTTACTGCTTTTTTGAGTGACTAGAGCCTAGGTAATGATGGACAGAGCACCAAAAATTCAGAACACAAAATAATTCAAGTAGCAGTAGTACACCAAAACAGACAAAATTACTGTCATCATCAAAATAGAGTAAGCCCGCACCATCGTAAGCGTGCTTTGAAAACGAACGATTTTAGGTTAAATGATAATAATTTCTTGTAATTACGTCTCAAAGACATTTGTTATGCTTTCTACTTGTAGCAAACAGTGCAAAAACTGTACATCATGCATCGTTTAACAAACACATCAAAATTGGACAGGTACTCATGATACGATCATAAATCACATATAACCATTAAAAGCATGTTCGCTACCTATCCCCTTCAATGCGGAAATTATCTGGAAAAAATAATGTAAGATTCTCTTCGCTACTTATAAGCAGCATTTATGTTATGTATCAGGAAGTTACCTCTACGTCTTACCTCTTCAATATTACATAAGTCGATAAGTAGTATGCGTAGTCGTTTCATTTTTTAACATCATCCTGTACTCTCACCGTCTTTACTTATCCGCAAGTTCTTGTCTCCTCACTTACACCAAGACAGTTCTGAATGTTTTTACGTATTCATTGAATAATGAAGTAGAACATTTTCATAGTCTAATCTGATGAAATATGTTATTATAGTTTAACAGGTGTTAGATCTGTTAAACTTGACTGATACAACGAAATAGTTAAGTTATTGAAAACTTAATTTCTGCTATTATTTATTATTGATTACATAATTTCCAGGTATTTTAGCAAAAGCCTCTGGGGAAGGATCATTTATATTTTGATATCATTAGAATGCGGAAGGTTTTAACTCCCCTCGTCAATTGGAGAGGAAGTATTGTAATACCAAAAAATTTCGGAAATGAGATACTAGCATAGTTATTGGGTATTATATGACATGTAATATACATCCAGTCGGTCGATTTGTCAGTCTACTAATCCTTGGCCCCGCTATAGCTTGGAAAGTACTGTTTGGATTTTGATGTAATTTTGCAACAAAGTTGCTAGTATGACAAAAACGAAATAGCTTTTTAGTTTTTGAAAATGAAATCATTGGCGGTGAAGCTACAAGCAACCAATAGGAAACTCACTAATACTTCGTTTTTTGACGTTTCAGGGGTTCCTGATCATTTCTACCAAAAAGTTATAAGGGTTAAAAATGGGAGCTTGGAGGTTGTAGGGGTTGGAGTAGGGGACAATTGTATGGGCCTGTTTAACTGGCATGATCCATTGAATTACTTTGTTATACAAGTTCGTCGCTAACTTCTTTCTAAGAAGAGGTAACTTGTGCCGAACATAGTCTTTGATGAACCGCGTTGCAGAGTCAATCTACTTGACGCCATTTTTATCTTGTTTCTATTTTTTCAATTGCTCTTTCAGGCACGTATCCACTGTTTGTGGTTCGATAACTTGTTAAAATCTTTGTTGCCAGCCTTTGTTTTAGAAAAAACTGGCTTTGGGAAATTTTATGTTACATATTCCAGGAGATGTTGACCTTACTGCATTAATATACTCCATGCAGCCCATAAAAATTCATCCTGGAGAACTGAAAACCCTTATTTAGAGCAGTCACGATACTCGGATGTTCAAACGTCTTTGTAGACTCTCAGGTTCAAAAACACCAGTAGCATTCTCATAATCACTGACTCGTCGTTTTTATTTGAGTGGCTTCTTTCATCCACGAATTTAAAAAATCCTTATGTCCAAGATTGGAAGGATTTTGATGGAAGCATCTATCACTTACTTCAGTAGAAGCTCTGTTTTATGTGCTTACGAATCTCGATAATCTCTTCAATAACTAACATCTATACATACTTCCCATGCACGAGCTAACACCAAAGCTTATTTTCTATATAAAAAAGGTTGCAAGCATATTGAACTGGATTGTTTGTTAAAATTTAGTACGACTTGGGCGAAATGCAAAAGGAACTTGATTATACGATGAAAATTGTTAAAATAAATGATAAGTTTATTTCTGCGCTAAAGGGGTAGCTGCATACTGACTACTAACCACGTTTTCTTCTTTCCAGGTACTCCTGCTTCTCACTGCATTATCTGCGACTCACAGCATAGAAAACAAGAAGACCATGCTACCAACTGTCACCAGAACGGAACTGAAAGTTTCCAGAAGCCTGAACCCCGAAGACACGCAAACTCTAAACGTAATGACTAGAGACGGCAGTGTTGCTCAACTCATCGTCAAACGAAGAGATGGTAAAGCAAAAGCACCTCAAACACCTCAAGTGCCATTGACCTCAGCCTACCAGAACTACTACAATGAAGTGGACTTTGATAAGCGCAAACCTTATGATAGTTTAAATAGTGGTGAGACAGTGGGATCAGTGGGATATGGACAGGCTGTGATAACTAACTGGGTTCCGTTGTCTTCTGTGTATTATCAGCCTAACATCATCAGGCTGGACACCATAGCTGTGGTGAGGAACGCCAGTGATATGAAGCCTAGCCATGGAACGCTGGGAAATGTCATAGATAGTGACAGGCGAGTAATATGCCGGTTCTTTCCAACAATGAGTTTCTGACACTCTCGAATGGTCATTTACAGTGGAACAAATCCGTTCAGCGTGTCTATAGGCAATATCATATCAATCATTTGGATCGGTGACTGCATTTGAGAATCTCTAACAGTCAGAAATACCTTATTGGAAAGAACCGTGAGGTAAAACAATGAAAATGTTAACGAGATGAAACAGAAGATAGATATATTCAAAAACTAAATAGATCTTGAACTTTTTGCGGTTAACCAAAATCAAAATTGATTTTTACTACCCAATATTACACAAATGACAAGACTGTAAAGACGTGACAAACATTGCAAAATCTCGCATGACACAATTCCTCAAATCAACGAAGGTTAGAGACTTCGTAGACCATAAATCAAGAGTGCATTCAGGAATCTGCCTAAGGGATAGGACACAGCGGTGGTCACAGCATCTTCGTCTTCCGGGGGAGGTGTTATTAAAATTGAAGGGTGTCGGGTGGCACGCTAAAGCACTTAAGCATGGCTTCTGAGAGCAAATGTTCTTGTGACAATTAAAAAGCAGAGGGGTGTGATACGTCTATTGTTTGCACTTGTCACGACTTAGGTCTAGCAAGGTAATTTTTTACACCCAGAGACGGCAATATATACCATTTAATCGAAACAAAAACTGGCAGACCTGAGCGTCTAGGAAGGGGGCAGATATGAATTATAGACGCTAGGAAGTCTTGGATTCAATGCTTTGTATATGTTTACTGAGTGTTTCACTGCATTCAATAGCAAAAACAGCATAAGAGAGCAGACACCTGTTTCAACTAATGTAAAAATTAGGAATTTGTCATTCTGTTTTTCTAGATCACAAAGACCTAATGGGTATTTCCAGGATGTTTCCATTTAGCTTAAATTGTTTTTTCCAGATCTCAAATTTTAAGTTGAGAAACGGTAATATCATGACAACGTTTATCTTTGTGTGCTTTGTAACACTTTGTGAAGCCCGGTAACTATATTAGCCACTATTATCTTTATTGATCAGCTAGTTTATACTACTATACAAAAGCAAATCGAAAATAAAGTGTTTATCCTTAAATAAATAAAGGCATTTCAAGATACGAGCATCTAGAAAATGTTCTATGTGCTTTAAGCCGAAGCTTTGAGCTGGCCATAGCCGTGGTTTCAACTTTTTTTGGTAATTTCTCATAGCATCAATAGCTTAAGGTCTCTTAGTCTCATATTATCTTGCATCAATCAAAGTTTTTGACTGAAATCAGGTTTTAAATGTGCAATATAAAACGTTACGGCTCTATGTTTTCCATTAATGAGTGGAAGCTTATGAAAATGCGATTCTGACAAAAAATGTACCCTAACCTTTTGATAAAGTTGGGCTTTTGGTGTGCATCAATTTCCTGAAGGATATACCTCTCGTGAAATACGTCGATATAAGACCTGGAAGGTATCACGATACTATAATATCTACTGTGACATCTGTGATAATCATCGCCAATTCAGTAGATCACCTACATGTTGAGTGATGTTTGCACAGTTAATGGGACAGATCTAACATCGAAAGAGTGTGGCAGATAGAAGTAAAATGCATTTAGCTTGCATACTATTCAGACCATGAAATCAGAACGTTTATTTTGAGCGAGTGCACATGTCAGGACACTATCCGAGCATAATCCGAATGCAGACGATTACCGCTAATTACTGCTTTCATTGTTTCCTCGTCAGCTGTGTCTAATACTGTTTGGTGTCGTATCTCTTCGTGATACTTTTTCTAACGCAAGCTTCCTTGAGAACTAATTACTCAATTTATTTAGGTAAATTGCAGAGTGCATGTACATGCGCATAGGTATGTATATGCAATGTTACACATAGTCGTCCTCAAAACATATTTTTCCCCCAATTATTTCCGTGATAAACAATCTGTGGATATCACGTATTTTGGAGTTAATGTCCAAAGTATAAAGTGTTTGCTATTTCAGCCATATCTAAACTAATATAGATCTACGAACTACATGTTTCGGCAAACGTAACATTCTGGAAAATTCATATATTTTAAAAGTAGAATTTTTTTTTCACGGTAGGTACTTAGTTTTAGAATCAATGTCAAAAGGAACTAAATAAGTGTAACATTTGAACAAGTGGTCGTGTGTGTTCAGCGCCGTTCTTGTGCTAATCTAACTTCTTATTTCTTGTGCCTGAATCTAAGTTGATGTAATCCTAGAGCCTTGTTGATTTTTAATATTTTCATATTATTTATGGTTATAGTAGAATAAGGTAATATAAAATGGAAAATTCCAGCAAGGAAAACAAACAATTGCAATCAATTTAATAGACAACAACCTATAATAAAATATGAAACTAGTGTCTTTCACTCTTTTCACTTACCGTAATTATACTCATGTAATAAAGAAAATAGAACACCCAATAAAAATGAATTTATCTACATTTTGAATACGACACACAAGCAAGAGGAAGTCGTGACTAAATCTACGATATCGCTAGATTTCGCGAATAATGTTTTGCGCCACCCTGATATCATATACGTTGGTCTACTCGACGCGGAATATTTTTATGGAGTAGTTTACGTCTTCCTGCTGTACCTGAATCCGAAGGGCTGCTAGTGATGGTAAAGGATGAGGTAAAGAGGTCGCTCTTCTTTCCATCATATGCCACCCATGTTGAATTGGCGAATAGTCTGGGGGGTTGATTTGACCGTTATTGAGGTAGTCTACTGCAATATGAAGAGTGCCAAGCGCTTGGAGAAATGATAAAAGATGAGGTCATAATATTTCCTGGATATGCCATTGCATCGCGTGCCTCTTTTAAGAGCTGATAGTACCATAGGTAGTGATACATCAAGCTGTGACTCCTACAGTATGGCGCAAGAGACATTTAGCTGGAAGCTTTACATCAGGTTTTTCTCAGAGAAAATTGGGATAGAGACGCATGATCCACCCGAGAGGCCCCGAAAAGTAATGTTTTCAGTTAAACGTCACGTGCAACATACTGTAGCATTTATGGTTTGAGTCGCCACTTAATATGGTGGTAAGTATCTTCTAGACTCCACTCGATGAGGTATGATGGCGCATTGGTATATCTTGGAAATACTGGATCTTCATTTTTTGTCATTTATCCATACACTTCAGGATCCTATTTTCTAACAAGTACCCCGTATGATCTAGAGACATTCCGCCCAATGAACATGTTTGGGATATGATGGGAAGTGAAGCAGCATCTTCACCTCATACTTCATAAGTGCTGATAGCTTGTCGGAATCAATTACAGCTATCTTGCATGCCCCGACGATGACATTGCTGTGACCTAGCACATTATTAGGGGAATCCAGAGATACAGAAAATGTTTTCACTTGAATTTAATAGGTTTTAACTCATGTCTCATGTCGAGCTTTATACTAAATTTTATTCAAATAGAATCGTTTTTACTGGATCCTCTATTTCCTGAGAACCTTATCAGTTAAATAATAACTATCAATTACATTACTGGATTTTTGTTCAAGTGTAGGTATACATATTATGAAGTAGATCCTTTGATTGTATATCGAGTTAATATATCATAAGCTCCAATCATGTATAGTCTATTTTAATTCAAAGCTTCTTATAACAGAATCCCACACATCCTTCCTAAACCAGTCAACATACGCTCTGAAGAAGTCTTCGTGAAAAATAACAAAAACAGCAAGGATCAGAAAAGGGGAAGATCATATATGGAAATTGACCATGACGGAGTTCCAGTGGTTCATGGTGTTAGAGTTCCAGATGACCCGTCGGATACCAAGACTTGGCGAAATGCTAGAGTTATTAATGGTGAATTAGTGCCATATGAAAAAGGTTAGTGTGCGCTCATTCCATCCACTATGTTTTAGATTAAATGTAACTAATGTTGTTTAAAAAAAAATTGAGTAGGCTTCAGAGATTCTTAATTGCGTGATTATAAAAACCGTTTTTTATAAACTAGTCAAAGTTATCGCAATGAGCTCAGATACAAAACACAGCCTTTACCATGGAATTTACGTATTATTTAAGTATATTTTTCAATATATCAGTATTCGTAATGCTAAATAATTGTTTTTCCGATCCATAATGAGCCACAATTAATATCATTGGCCTAAAGTACAAGTTTAAATCGAAACGAACTTTTGTGAAGCTTGTGCCAGTCTAAGTAAACTTGACGTCTGTACGAATGAATTGAATATTTAGGGGTGAGGGTGAGAAATTTTGATCACCTCATAGAACTTATTTTTTGAAAAGCAAAACATATGATTCGTGTTCCAAAACATCTGCCATGCCATGAGTAGCAAAAGAAATGGCAAATCAGGCTGACTCTGCACTTCCCACTCATCGCCGTCATCAGATCATAAGTGATTATGTTGAGCACAAGTTAGACCTTCTGAGAAAAAAAATGTTGCGAACATGTATGACAGAGAAATAGAGAGGATCAAGTCAGTCAAACACGCACAGGTATCATGTACCTTATGCAGTGACGTTATGCCGACTTTTTTTGACATTATGCTGGTTTTTTGACATTATGCAGGTTTTTCTACAATGTATATAAGCTTAGCACTTAGTTGTACGTGTTGCCTAAACGTCATGAGGCTTGTTAGCAATCCTTGGCTCTGATGTAATGTAAAATCTGCTTCTGAGACGGCATTACTGGAGGTCTAAGCTGTAAGTTGTATGTGTTGATGATAATTACATTGGGTTCTTGTCTCAAATACACTTAATTGATATTGAGAAATTAGTTGCGTATCCACTTTTTTTATCCATTCTGGAAATTACATTTACAAATTTGCTGAATTTCAAAAATGAGAGAGATAAGAAATAATTATATTCACTGTACACTGTCGAATTACAGGCCATATACATGCTAACAGTAATTACACACAACGCGGGCGCGGTGATGATTTCCCGTAGTTCTCCTCAGTTTTTCATAATTTATAACTTCGACCAAAACCTTTCTTCAGAAAGCACAACATAAAAATAACCCGTCGGGCACAGCTAATAGATATACTTCATTTGCAGCATATTCAGTAATGATTTTCTCATTCAACAAATATCACCGATTTTATACACATGCAGATCAATACACATAATCATCCAGATGCGATCTTGCTATTCAACCAACTTTCTTCTCAGAGATAAAAACTACAGACAAGGGCCGTTTGACCTCACAAAACATATGCAACCAATAATGCGTGTAATTTAGTTGAGTGATTCCTCCTTAGATGGACATTCACAACGGTCCTAGTGAGCAAACGTGGAATGACTGCGTCCTAAAAACTACCTAGTTTGCAAGACGACATCTTATAGGTTTTTTTTTACGTTTTATAGGTTTTATACATGATAACCATAACGTTAGTCCATAGACATTCTTTCCCTGTCCTATGAGTAGTCCATATAGAAACTTAGCCTTCTCCCGACACCTGAATGCTCAATCCGCCAGACGTTGCGGCGCAGCAGTAAGGCCAAGACACTTGCCAAGACGGGCACGCTTGCGGGTGATCCCAGACAGTGTAGGTCAATAGGTGCATAGAGCTACCGAGGCTGGAAGCATACGAACATTCTTACACCAAAAAATTGAGATAATACTCCCCTACCTCGTGCAACCCCTTGCCCCCAAATTTCATTCCTTTACACATTTTTTCGAAAACGATCAGGATCCTCTGAAAGGCCCAAAAGAAAATTTTGAGCGATTTGTATTTCTTTCCTCCGCCAGTGGACCAATTTTCAAAAACTACAAAGCTTATTTGTCCTTGTAATAGCAGTAACTTTGTGTGGAAATAGCATCAATTCCGACCGGTGTTTTCCAAGTTATAGACGGGCCAAGGATTAGCGGACATACAGATCGGCGGAAATGAGCGACATGAATTCTTCGAGCCTATAATACTTCCTTGCCAAGTGGGCTTGAAAAGTAAAAGCAATTACATGTCAAAAAGTGTGAGGAAATTCGAAATAGGGTCTATTTGAGTGCTGCTCTTGTCAGCCTTCCAGACTGATCGAGCTTTGAATTAGCCACTGTCTCACAACAGCCAAGTTTACCTTTAACATCGACTATGTTATTACTGTGGTACCCTACCTCACCTGAGCTGCCCTACGTCTCAACTTTTTCTAGGCCTCAAAGTGTCTTCAATTATGCCGAAATGTGGATTTCAAAAACAAAAGTATCAGTTTTTGATGTAGGTATTTATATCCTACGAAGGTCCGCCTTGTCTACAAACTCTAAACATAAGACATTGAGATTTAATCACAAACATCAAATATATGAAAAAGACTGTGCTTTCCTTGAAATACCTAGTGTGCAAAAATAGTGATTACAACACATAATTATTGTGAATTAATGAATAATGTCATTGATATCAATATCAGGAAGTTAGTTTATGGTGAAATAGCATGTATAAATAATATATTTTGAATAGAAACATTGTCGTATAACACGGATTTATTGCTTTTCACACGTAACATACCTTTTAATTTCAAATCTAAATGTTATTGAAGGTAGTAATGTCGCTTCAAAGATTGTCAAGGAGAGACAGATAAATGCAAAAAAGAAGGAATGCCGATACTTAAATTTGTTTGTTTAGTATTTAAATGCTTACGCCAGTGAACGGTAACTTTTATGAATGGATTATAATTTATCATCATCATCATCAGACCATCATAGTGAAAAGTACCTGCGAAAATTGCGCATTCGTAACTTTATAACAACAGAAGAATTCGTAAAATCTGTGTTAGCTGATTAGCTTTAGTGACCTAAGCGAGAGATTACTCAAAAGAGCATTCTAAGTCAGGGCAAATTATTTTTGAGGGGTTTGGATTTATGTTCAGAAAAATTTCGGTACCCTCCGCCTTGGGGCAATGGAAGAGAGGGAAGGGGGGTCGTTTTCAAATTGAAAAATGCCTTCGAAATTCTTATAAGCTCGGATATTTCGAGGGGGGGAGGGGTCCGGAAATTAGGATATTCCCCTTGGATCCGCCCTTGTCCTCAGTGCGAAATTCGATTTCTTTCTAACCTCAATACTCCTGCAAACCCCGCCATGAATTACTAAGCAACTTCTATTGTCATATTTCATGCTTTTTATCTCATGATTAACCTATTGTATCAATGGCCTAAGCATCTGCCAAGTGTTGTATTAGACGCAATGGCACTGTGCTGTATATTAATATCATTCAGGAGGCACCTTTTCGCGTACTACTTACTGCATTATTTACTAGACCCATAACCACTTGCTTGCTTTCCGGTGTTATCTCGAATTACTAGAACTATACCGTACTGATCATGACTAAAAAACATGAAACAACTTACGGTTGACTATAGTCAGAGATACGGCAAACTGACAGGTCCTATTCAGTATGTGCGTAGTTTATGCAACTTTTCCAGTGACAGTAACATCTCTTCGCAACATCCCGGAAGCTAATCAAACGGCGCAATTCGGTAAACAGTCCAGGCGGTTAATTGAACGACAAATTGAGATACTTGGTTCAGATATTTCCGTGCATATTTCCTAAAAAGGGGGTACAAAATTTGGTGTTGCTGCTGTATCTAATTTTTTTTGGTGTTAGTATATTTATATGCCTCCAACCCTAGAAATTCTATGCACCTGTTAAACATATCCTACACATGATAGATCTCCCTGTACAATTGCCCTTAAAACTTAGAATAACAGAGAAATATGTCCAACATCCATATGTCCTCTGGATGTAGCTGCGTCGGGGTCTGACCGATGGGCACTAGCGAGGGGTCTGTGGCGAGGTTAGTCATAGCCACTTGGGCAAAGGGGCGGCATTGTCGGATGAGCCTATTTTACTGACAACATGTTTGTAGCTAAACATTTTTTCAGAGGGGCTAACTTATGCCGAATATAATCCTTTATAAGCTGATGACAGCATTGCGTGGGATATGCAGAGTCAAACTATCGTAACTTTATCTTTGCATTTTACAGGATACAAACCTCCAGCGGCTATCCCTATGGGTGAACTAGTTTACGCCAGCAATGTCCCAGCACCTACCACTGTCACTAAATCGCTGGGTCCATTTTCCAAAGAGGACAATTTCAAGAGTCCCAAAACACAGGAGCGCACGCATTCCATGGGACCATTTACGGTCAAAGATAACACGGAATCAGATGACAGCGAGAAATCCTTCGTGAAATTCAGCAGTTCAGGAGTTGGACCATTTTCAAAGTCGGACAATTCGAAAGCCTCCGGAACGAAGCTCATAGACTATATCAAGGAAATCAACGCTAGGGAGTCTGTCAAGGATTACTTTAACAGGAGACAATACAGATCGTATGACCAGCAGGATAATCCACAGCAGTTCCAGAGGAGGATGCTTCATTATGAAGGTAATGTCATCAGAATCATATTATTATGCATATACATTTGCAATTCACGATAAATAACATACTTATTTGTGCTGTTTGACTAGATAGTACTTGTTACCTAGACGATGATACTCTTCGTCCAACTTCAAAATCCCATACCTTGGAACGTTGCTACTTAGGGCGATAGTGTTGTAGACTATTTTGATTGATGGATTCTGATACAGAATAAGTTTAACATACTGAATGGAACAGAAAAATTTTAAGTCCAGTGCTATACTGTTAAGACGTAAGACGATATAATGCAGAACTGTTTCTAGCTAGTGGTAAATGTTGGGAAGACCAATACACATCCAATGCCAGTTCAATCTCCATCCACTGCAAAAGAGTTTATAACTTTGTCTATAATTCGCATTGATATTCATCCCACTTTGTCCCAAATACACATATAAAATTGTAATAGAAGATTAGGCATATATTCATCAATTTCTTTGTATTCCATTTACGCAACACATTTTTCAGGTGAACCGTCCTATCCAAATTCAGCAATGTACACACCGCAAACTACCAAGCTTAGTCCTGTAACATTCAATGAAGGTGTAAGGACACCAGTATTGCAGTACGCTCATCCGGAACTAGGTGTACAACCTGCTAAAGCAACGCCAGAAGAAGAACCTATGGCACAGGAATCTATCCAAGATAAGCCGATCTATTCCACTGCTGGTAACAGGAGATCCCAGTATTACGACGACAACAGTATCAACAACATTGAATACTACAGGTAGGCTTGTTACTATCTAACATAAACCCAAATGATTAAAAAATACTTGTTTGACATCCGTACTTGCTGTTTGATGAAATTATAATCCGGGGTGTTATTATCACATTCATTTGATCATATTATGCGTTTCCAAAACATGGGGAAAATTTAGGAGCCTGAAAACCATTTACCCTCTAATTATTTTATAAAAACCGCTTAGTAACGTAAGACTGAGATGAATAATTCCAATATCTTAATAGTAAATACTACATTAAATAGTGATCAATTGCAGCTGGTATATGTACATCTAGTATTTCTCCTCAATGATTGTCAAGTATTTTCAGAGACATCAAGGTTGCATCTTACAAATATCCCCTTTCACAGTAGACATCTCTGTCGACGATGTGAGTATATCGAAATTTGTTTGGAATAAAAAAATTAAGCGGCCTTTCATCAACCATCAAAGAGGAAAATATGCTTAGAATTGTCATGTAGTTGTAGCCTTGAAAGTTTAGTTGTCAAAAGAATACCTTACAGTCAAATGGGTCACGATACGGCAAATGAGGTCATAATAACTGAACCCCACCTATACATTTTATTCCAGGAAAGATGTTTTGAACTACCCCTACAACACCTACTACATCAAAACTAAAACGGAACAACCCTTATGGCTGAAGATTACCGAGAGCATCAAGGACAACGTCCAAACCGGCTTCGAAAGGATGCAGAGGTTAACTAGGCCAGTGATAGAGCCATTGATGGAAGCCACCCAGAAGATTTCACACAATTTGGGCTTTTCGAGAGGAACACCCAAGGCACAAGATAAGGTGGGCCTGATGACACCTGCTGGTACTTCTGTAATCCTTCCTGCATTAGGACTGGTTGCCGGTGGTGCTGCTTTAGGACTCGGAGCAGCTGCTGTTGGTGAGTTGATAATATATTCATAGCGCCTCCACGTTGGTGACTTGGAGAGCGGTTTCGCTTGGCGCTGCAAGGAGCCTATTGATGTGAACCTCACATAATAAGCAGCAAAACACTCTTCTGAAAAATAATAATATAAAGAATGCGTATCCCATATTGAGACTTCAGAGTTCAGCTGGTCTCTGCACAGGGAATGTGGGGCTAACTTGAGCATATGTTTGTATTGACAATCTTAAATGGGTAAAGCAGTTCATTTAAATAGCACTACACTATTCTAATATCATAACATTTTCTATATAGAACTAGCTGCATTTCGACAATATATCATATTATTTTTTGAGAAAACAGAAAATACTTTTCTTGTATTATTTGACAGTGTAATTGGTAGTTTTATTCTGTATATCTCTCAATGAAATGTAAAAATAATGAAACTATCTGAAGCAATAAATCATTCTTTTAACATCGATAAGTACGCAATAACACTGGCAGATGCAGAAAAGAATATGGGGGAGCATGTCCTATCACTAATCATAAAAATTGTTATTCTACTGGGTGACACATGTGAATAGCCCTAAATTTGACTATGCTAGAAGCATACAGTGCGTTTCAAAAAGGTGCCTTTGCCACTTATTTTCTCAACTGTTCAAGTTAGCTAGCTGAAATTTGGAGAGGCAAAATTGAGGCATGAAGCGTAATGGAACGTAGTTTAAAAGTGGCAGTTGAACATTTTAAGATGGGTACATTTGTGCTCGTCCAAATAAGATACACTCATTTTTTTGGTTATTATAACCCCACCATTCACAGTACTCAAATATTTCTTCCATTGCTCACTTTGTGACATAGTTTGTCCTGCAATGTTTTCTATGGACAGATCAGCAACGTCTAGGTTCCACAGGTAGGGTCCGAGGATATGTCCCTGAGGTACTCTGTAGCGTTGGTAGTATGCTTTTGTTTTTGCATACTTGTTTTTGCTGCGTATTTGTCGGATGAGCAAATAGTTTTCTATAATTTTGATGTCCGTCTGTTGTAATTTATAAATAAGAGCAATACGAGAAATAGAGTCAAATACCTTTGATAGGTCTGTAGTAAGTTGAGTTTCAAAATGGTGTACTGTTATTATGTGCGTTTTTATTACGTACATTGAATCGTTTATAATCCTCATAACCGTATACTAGTATGTTATACCAATCTTCTTCGTTTAGAAGGGTCTATCTGAAGTAGGAAGCAAATATGAGGTAATCTGCTCAAAATATTGGCAGATTTCGACCTGTTTCTTAAACTTAATGTCCCATACTTTATTACATATCCGGATAGGTATTTCCAAGGGAAGAAAGTTGACTACCATTAAATGATAGGAGCTTGAGATGTATTGCACCTATAGTTACATTATGATCTGAAAAACAATTAATTTTTGATATAGTTTTAATGAAAATTATCTTACGTATCTCATAAACCGATTCAGAATAAATCCAGTCACAATAAATTTTCCCTCAGGTAGGCTTCTGAATGTCAACGAAATGCGTTCCCTTCAAGACCTCAACCAAAACAGCAGATCGTACCACGAAGTAAACCCAAACAACATACTATTTATCATGGAGGAACCCAAACAGAACAAGGAAGAAGAGAGGAAACGGTTCAGGAGGAACGTTGAAGACGAGTTCTACATGCAAAAACTAGCGAGCAGCGTGGAGAAAGACGTCCACCTTCACACGTTGTCAGCGCCACACTTCTGGTCAGATACGCCTTGCTCCAAAAGGATATTCTGCGAGGTGATGACTCATCAGAATCCCGATGAGGTGCTGTTTATGGAGAAGAAGATGGATACATTGATGTCCTCGTAAGTATTGCTTAACATTAAGCTTATCTTCAATAAAATTAGGTTTCTGTGCCGGCTTGTGTGACGTAACCATATGGGTATCTTGTGCCTGTATTCGTATATTCACAGAGGCTGTTGTTTACCTGCTCGCCTTCGTGGAATCAAACGTACAGGATGTTCATTTGAAAACTTTCCACCACGGATTTATCGAAAACTACTGATTAAAAGAAAAAACGCCAAGACACTCAAAAGATTCGTCAAGGGGGACAGCCTTTTAACCAAAAACTACTTCATCTTCTTTCCCCTCTGTCCCTAGGGTGATTCCCTTAATAATTTTAAATGACAAGAGATATCGAGTAATAGCTTGTTTGACAGGTCTTGCGAAGTCCTTTATTTTGACGTTTGATTTTTCAAAATCGGTCGATTCGCTTTCAATAAAAATAATAATAATACTCTTTATTCATCTTAATTTGTTCAGATAAAAAACAAAAGCACACGAAAATATCCCTTTTTATTTTAATGAGTGTTCAAAATGTTGGCCGTTATTGGCTAAGTTATGATATAGACGATGTTCAAATTTCAGATGGACATTTTAGAAAACATGTTGGGGATATCATGGCAGCATTAGATGATGCGCTGACGTTGTTAATCCAAACTTTCAGGTTAGGGAGTAAACAAAATAGATTTTAAATGGCACCATGGAAAAAAGTCTAATGGCATTAAATCAGGAGATCTAGCAGGCCATTCTATAGGCCCTCTTCGCCCTACCCATTTATCTGGAAACTCGTCGTCTAGCCTTTGCCGAACCGAAAGAACACAGTGAGGAGGAGCTGGAAATATATTTCAGCCTCATCAAGTATAGGGTTTCCATCCTCTTCGATTTGCCTTTCAATGGTTTCAGTGATAACCGGATTGATGGTATTTTCCAACATATCCAAATAAATGTCTCCATTCAAATTTCCATTAATAAACAATGGCCCAATCAAATTGTTTCCTAAAAATGAGCGGCTTCATCCAAAACTCCCCGATGATCACGTTTTTTATTTGCAACAGATCAACTTTGAGTAAATTTAGGAACAAGGTCCGAAGCATACCTATACGAAGTTGTCTTCCCCGTGGGCGTTAAACGTGACGGCCGTTTGCCGATCTCATTGATCTTGGGCACCATAAATTAGAATCACTTCCACTCTTTCGGCTAATCTGTAAGCCATTTTGGTAGTAAAATCTGAAACAATAAATTAGTTTTCACTATCCCAAGATTGTCACAAAGGTTACTGACAGCAAATTAAATTATTTCTTTTCCCCTAGCAACTATATAATTAAACAGGTATAACAATAAATACAGCTCGCCTAGGATATTTGTGCTGATCAAAAGAATGCGGAAAAAATTCGGTTTGTTATTTGGTTGTCGCCACGTCTAATCTTCCGAATTGCTGTCTATTTCGGTAATTTCCGTTTTAAATTCTAAACAAATTGTAGGTTTGGCAAACCTTAACGGGCAACATTTTGAACACATGTTGGAATAAAGTTATATTTTCGTGTGTTTTTGTGTCCTTCCTCAACAGATTAAGATAGATAAATATTTTACTAATTTTCTCGAAAATGAATTGACCGATTTAAAAAAATCAAACGTCAAAATAAAGGACATCGAAATACCTTTTGAACAAGCTGTTACTTGTCCCCCTTGTCATTTGAAATGTTTAAGGCGATGACCCTGTGGGTAGAGGGTGAAAGGGGGTGAAGTAGTTTTTGGTTAAAAAGTTGACCCTCTTGACAAATCTTTTGATATGTCTCGGCGTTTTTTCTTTTATTCATTAGTTTCCAATAAATCCATGGTGGGAAGTTTTCAAATGAACACCCCGTGCATGCGGTAGATTATTTTTGGAACCATCATTACGAAGATATATGAACATAGTAGAAATAATAGAAGCAGAATAATGTGAACTAGCAATTAATTTCTACTGACGAAGCTTGTTCGCATGTCCTAATGGATCTAAACTCCAACAGGTCTAAATGAATGGCCTGGCAAAGCTCGACCATACATTGAAACCGGATGCGGGTGGCATATTATAATGTTTAAAATTAAACTATAACATACTCAGCGTAACATCCAATTCAGAGAATATTTTTTGGGAGACCACAAACAAGAGAGCAGAATCTCACAGCTGATCACAACCGCTTGTAATGACGAGATCAACAACGTCAACCTCACCAAAGGACTTTTTGACCATAAGTTTGTTCCTTAACCTAAAAGGTATGCAGATTCTGGTGCTAATTAAGCTGGGACATTCTGATGGAGATTAAACCTATGTGCTTCCGTTCGGCATCCCATCACCTATATTGTTCTGACGATTCCTATCGATGATGAAACGGCCTTATACGATTAATTGTTCTGAAGCGTGTTTCCTTGAAGAATAGAATTACCTAACCTACCTTAACTTTGACCTATCAAAACTACTTACCGTACGATGCGTGCTTTTGAATCGTTGCTGTCATGCAATCTAAAACCAATCTAGTTTCGGGTAGAGCTTATCGCAAAAAATAATCACCAGCGTCAGCGTGCTGGCATCGGAAGTTTGATCTGCTTCCATCAATCAGCTGCCTAAATGGATTACGGTATGTGTGTATTGATATTTGTGACGCAAAATGGATTCATTTATCATCAGGACGATGCTAAACTATCAGTCGCCCCACCTGTACATACAGTACGCGTAATTCATTTTGCGGTTGTTTGGATTGGACGATTTTATGGATATTGATGCAAATTATAGACATCTGGACATGGGTTTACCATTTTGGATGTTCTGGTTAATTGCAATGGTAACACTGCTAAATGCATCCATTTTTAGAAAATGTATTTTGAAGGGCTTTATATGAGTTTCGCTTGTCAGCAACGTTCGAAGCACTTTAACAACATGTTCTACATTCTACGTTATGTATGGTGATTCTGTGACACGCTGATTCTCGTGTCATCAAAGCCAAGCTAACTCCTCTTAAAGATGCGTCCATTAATTACGTGATATTTTTTGGTCAGGGAGGGGGGGGGACGAGGGTTATTGTCGAATTATGAGGAATTTCACGTGAAATTAGGGACAGGGGGAATAATTCAGGCTAAGTCTCACGACATCTCACCAGGACGAAGACGTGTTCATAAAATAGCCTCCATGTACAATACAGAACGTACAAAACGAACCCAAATTTTTAAGTATATTATTGGTTGTGCGCTTTAAAGATTTTTTTTATATTGAGAAGACGAGAATAATACAGAGCCTAAGCGAAAGCACCGCGGCTGTTATCAAGAAATTAAAGGCATCTCGCTGATCTATTTTTGAATTTGTTAAAATACCGGTAATTGGAGACAACCTCTTCTGGCATATTATTCCATAACCTGGTTAAGCCTAGTAAGAAAGGCTATAGGGTATAGAGTTCGAGTGAGCTAGAATGAAAAGTATAAGTCTGACAAGTATGCTCAGTAGGCCTAGAATGCGACTTCACCGCACACGTGATCTCAAAAAAAGGTCTGATGACCTGTGGGGGATCCTTGATAACGTCTGTTAAGGAAGTGTCACCGATCGATCGGATGATCCTCATAGGAAAAGCGTCAGCATAAGCGAGTTGAATACACGATGACAGGAGGGTAGGTATCACAGAATGAAGTAGTTACATCGCGAAGGGTATCTTCTTTCTAGCTCTAAAGGTATTCCAGCTTCTTCCGGCAACTGTTGCGCTTGACGATGCGTGTTGATGCTAAATGATGACGTCAGTGATATGAACTCAGCAACAAGGCAAGTCAAATGATGGCGGGCTGCTTTTTATGACCAAACTCTTGGAATTTGGACTACTTCATAGTTTTACGGAACCTATTTTTTCTGGTGGGGTGTATTTTTTAGATTAATTCAAAAAAACTGCAACCAGATATCTGTGAACACAAAAGCTTGCTACATGTTGAATCTCTACGTTTAACCGACATAGCAACAGGTGTAGTTCTGGGCATGCAATGTCAATCTTCTTTAGTCATGATTTGTGTATCTAATCTCAAAACCAATTTTAAATGCCTTTCAATTTTATACATTGAATAACAGCGATACTATCTCATCACAATGACATGCTGTAACGGACCTACCAAATATGAATCCTCGAAATAAATGAACGCCTCGCATTCGCCCACACAGTACCATCAGTACCACATAGCATCAATCACAACGCATAATAATGATCCCCATTACGTAAGTATGTACGCAGATGGCGATGGCCGGCTGGATGTAGTTGCACGCATCCTTTGAGCGATAGAAAACGAAAAAGCAGTACCGTCGCGGCTTCTCTGCGTACGAGGTAGTACATATTGGATGTGGTAAAAAACAGAGGTTATGTGGGTCGGAGAAAGCATTCAGAACATGCGTCTGAATCGCGTACCGCGCGTACCACACCTCTGGGTTAAACAGTTGCCAAGTTTACGTTTATTCTCCAAACGTAATATTAGCATTTACTCTTGGGTTGGAATGAATGAACCTGCTTGCTCTCCGTCTCTGTAACTATGACCAATCGTAGACAGCGCTGATTCGAGCTCATTAGCGGCTGATCAGTATGTGTCCTAGGTCTACTCTAAGGATATAGACGAACGGAACAAAAACAAGCTCGTATGATATTAAGGCTCGATTTTACTTATCTGGGGCGCAAAATTTGTACCTAGATCAATGAGAATGCGTTTATGGATTAACGGATGCAGTGAATATGGTCGATTTCTTGTAAAATGTATCTCAAACTAGAGAAAAATTATACGATTTATGTAAGATCGCACCCAAATTCTAAAATTAAATTAAGAAATACATCATATATCACCTGGTTTAGCTATACAAAAACCAATTTTTTCATTTCCGATGTCGTTTTATCCCCCTCCTGGACTACCCACGGTATTGTAGTAAGCGAGGAAGATTAGCGCTAAACACTTGTTGACCATAAAACTAGTTAGAAAGGAACCGGGTAGTCAAGTAAATTGAATATTTACGCGATATTTAATGAAG